GAATTATTTATCAAAAAGTAATCAAGAACTATCACCTAGAGGGTATCCTGCGACACACTTAGGCTCAAGCTGTAAGAGAAAATTCCAGTTAGTAAAGAAATTAATTTGCAAAAATTACCTTGACGTTTCGATAGCTATTTTCTGCTATCGTTATCAAAAGAACCTAAATGAACCTAAAAAAGAGTATGTTAAGAAATTTTGTAACAATAGTAGGATGTAACAATAGTAGTATATGAAAATTCGCTCTGATAATTCGTCTGTGCAAATTGTCAGTTATGTGACTTTGACTTAATCTTATTGTTGAAATTAATAAAGGTAATGTTTATTAATAATTTTGGTGTAAATTTAATTTGGGTGTATGTTTCTCTGGTCTACTTCAGATTTTAGCATAGGTAACCATGTATGACTTAAATTAAATGAACATGAAGCAACACAATTATATTGATTTAGTAAGATTAGTGCGCTTTCTTTAATTTTACGTTTTTTTGTAGATTGTTCTTTTGTTAAAATTGTAGAATTATTCCATTGAATTTTGTGGCAATTATCAAATGCATGTTGACAAATGTGTGATTTATGATATTCTCTGTTTTTTATGTATGATTGGTGTTTACTAATTTTTGTGTAATGGTCTTGAGGTTTCTTCTATATAAAATTTACTGCATACGCAAGGAATTTTATAAATTACAATTTTTGCATTTTCCATTTTGTCATGAGGTTTTATTACTGAAATTTTGCTTCTAATTGTATTCTCAGTTTTGAAGATAGTCCTAATATTAATTTTTTTACCTACTCCTTTCATTTGAACTGAAAGTCCTGGAATAAACGGAATGAAAAGGTTTGTAATAGGTTTATTTTGATTTTGTTTTGTTTGCGGGAATTCAATTTCGTTAAAACATTTTTCAATAATAGAATTTGCATAATTATTGAAATTTAGAATTTCTTTTATAAATTCTTTTTCTTCGGAAAAATTAGATTGATTACAAATTATTTTTGCTCTATCATATAGGCTTTTTACGATACTTTTTTTAACCATTATTGGGTGATTTGAGTTGAAATTCAAATATCGGTTAGTATGAGTAGGTTTTCTATAGACCAAGGTTTTGAAATAAATTGCCTACATTTTTCTGAATCAGTATATCGAGAAAAGGAATTTGGTGATTTTGTTCTTTTTCAATAGTGAATTTAATTGTTGGTTCTTTATTATTCAGAATACGTCATCAAATTATTGGTTTAAATTTGTAATTATTAATGAAAGTTGATTCAAAATTTTCCATAAATAAATTACTGAAAAATGGGGATAGTGGTGACCCCATAGCCATTCCAAAATGTTGTTGATAAAAATTGTCATTGTATTGAAAGTAAGTTGACTTTACACATATTGTTAAGAGTTCAATAATGGTGTTAATGCTTAGTTCCTCCCGTTTTTTCCCGAAAACCATTAAGGTTTTCTCCAAAACCGATCACAAAACTAAAAATTTTTAATTGAAAACGCAAAAAAAACCATTATTTTCTGATGAATTCTTACTTTTCTGACAATAATGGGGGTTTTGCAGCCAAAAATTACGAAAATTAATTTTTTCCAGAAAATTCGCCTCATTCATCGGTTTGCAGGAAACTTTAGAAAACCCATTTTAGCTTCGACCTTGGCATCAAAACCAAATAATTTTATTCAGTTTTTTACCGAAAGTAATTAAGATTATCTTGGAAAAACGGCCAATGCCATCATTCGGCCAAAATTCATCGCTTCGAAGATTTTTAAAGTATTTTTCCAAAAATATTTTCCCCGAACTAAAAAAGCGAAAGTTTGTAATCATTTATTTGGAAAACTCTTGGAAACTGGCGTTTCTTCACTTTTAGATCAATATTTCTAAACAACACTGTCCAAACAGAAAAACCGAGTTTTTCCTAACGTTTTACTATAAAATACTGGCAAATTGAATCTTTACGCAAAAAAATTAAGAGATCGATTTTACAAGAAAACTCGTCGACTTTCTTTCGACTCAGTTCTGTTGCTGTGAAAATCTATATGACTTTTTTTTAGTTGTTTGAGCAAAGTAGTAAAACGTTACTCAGAAAAAATGTTAATGACTCTTTTTTGTGAAATGTGAAAATTCCGCTCTCGGGTCCCGTAAAGCTTTGATAAATCACTTATAACTCATAAACCGATGAGTTATAACTCGTTAACTCAGAGAGCGGCAACAACTCAATAGCGCAACTCAACACAGTGCTACCCAGGCCTAATTTAGAATAGGCACCATATTTAAATTAAAATCACTGCAAAATAAGGAAACGTATGGAACGATTTGTTGCATACATAACTACGACTTTTCTCTGATGAGGGATGGAAGAGCTAATATAATATAATGCTAGAAGAGGCCTTGAGAAGACCAATAACCAGTTGCCCTAGAGTGTTTTTCTACCACAAAGATTGTGATTAAAGAGAAAATGAGCGCTAAATCCTCCCGACCATCAGATCCTGAAAAAATTATTCCTATAAATGACTGAAGGTAATCCTTAAAAATTAGCAGTTGAAAGCCTTTCCAGTGCATTAAGTATCGAACACATTTGGTTCGAATTCTGCTGCTTGTTTCAGCATTTTCAGTTTGCTTAGGTAAACCACACACCAAATTTCATTTTGTGACGAGATGTTGTTAAATTATGGCCCCAGACAGAAACAGGAACAAGACAGATTTTTTGGAAATTATACCATATTCACTGGTTGAGCCTCGATGATAAGAAATGCACATTTAACTGCGTACCTACACTTATCACTTTAGTTCATCAAAGTTAGTTTTTGTCTGGAATGTTCCTATTTACATACATTTATATATCCCTTAAAGGTTTTGGTATGTGTGTTCGTTCAACTATATCTCCGTTGTATTTTTAATATAGATTTGCCTGCAAATTAGCATATGGGACTTTTCACTTCTCTTGAACAATGAAACCTAATATCTAACGACTAAAGTCTCAAGACAGACTCAAAGACTATTTTTCTCAAAACCATTCCATGTACCTCAACAATATGCAATTCATCAATGAAGGAAGGTATACTGGGAATTAGGTCTGATTTTCAATTAATTTTACTCACCAACAAAGTGGAAACACAGAAATCACATTAATATTTCAAAGTTGGACAAGGGACACAACATGGACACAACTGAACAGCACTGCGACCGTTATCAAATAATAGCAAGTAGAAGATGACGGGTGTTATTTGAATATTTGACATATGTGATGGCTTTTACATGACGTTTACCTCAGATTGAACAATGAATTGGATACAAGCACCTGGAACGGACCCTATGCACTATAATAGTGAGGCAAAATCAAAATGTAGGCAACCCTCTGTCCTGAGGGGTGTATGTCTCTTTCTATCTCATTGACTTATACGGAGATTTGGTGCAATATTAGTTTTCTTTTAAATAATTACAGTATGTTAGTTAGGTTATTGCTGAAAACATAACAAAATTGAACTATCTTAAACATTTCAGGTATAAAAAATCATAATTACAATTCTGAAGTGGAATAACGTAGGAGCAAAAAAGTAAAAGCAAATCTAATACAAGTAAAATAGGTATAAAATACTTTATTTATATAGTAAACACAAAAACTTCTAAACTTATTATTAACAATTGTTAAATAGTATGAGTTTTGTCATTTTTGCCTTACTGTTGCAGCATTTCCATTCAACTTCATATGAAGAAGTGAAGAGTGGTGGTGCATTCGACATGTTATAAAAATATCCGGAATTTTTCGGGGAGCTGAATCTCGTGGCACTCCTCACCTCACCCCCCGAGAGCCCATAAATTCTTGAAATACAGGGTAAAGTATTAAGTAGCCATATTAACAATTATCTTCTTTTCATTTATTGGACTCTTTAGAACTTCGTCCTTTTCTAACATATCGCGGAATTGACTTTCTGCGAAAAGTAGAATTTTATACACAGTATACATAATTTTTTTTTAAAGGTCTCGGGGGGTGCGCTGTACATGTGGTCATGACAAATACCATTATCTCTTATTAATAAAATTTCTATACAGTCATGACATGTACTTTCATCAATAAGGCCACGCACTATTGATACCCATACCATACCCAGATATGTATTCTGCTCGTTTTTGACGGCGTCCATTTATCCCTACGAAGTGGCTGCATCCATAATTTTAGTATTTTGGGACGTTTAAATGGAAAACTACAACAATAAAAAGAACATAAAATAAAATATTATAATGATTTACTTTACGACTTTAAAACTTACGTATGAAACGGGATTTTTCTTAATTGCTGCTCATTTTTATATCCATAAGCAACACAAGAGATCACCATTATGGAAACAAATAAAACAGACTAATGCAATTTTGTCTTTTTCACCCTTATTTTTAAAATATCAGGAAATAATAATAACACTTTGATACGCTAACATATACTGTTGCTGAAATCTATCTCGTTTGAATTTACAACACACGCAAACCATATAAAATATTACAAAATAATAACTGATGTAGTTTTATCAGGTAAAACAAAACGGGTCTGACAGAGACAAGGTACCGTCCCATTAGGCTATCTCTCTCTGTTGCCCCTGATACAACATCCCGGTATTCAACAATGGCCGGGGCCGTTCAAGGCAGAGACAAGGGATAATCAGGATTCCAAGGGATTCCCGGTACTTTACAGGACGTTACTGCGATGAGCCACCTAATACTTGTAGATAAAGACAAGTACCAGGTACTTTAGCATACAGTTCATTGTCTTTGGCACAGCTTCAGGACTATTTGCCTGCATGATACAATGAATACAAGGTAGGATATTAATCGGTCGAAAACTCGGTTTTCGTGCGCACATGACGTCGCTGGTTACCTCTTTGGTAAAGTGACCAGCTGATCCCATTTAAAATGCATGTAAACCTAGACAAATTTTCACTGAATTCAAAACGCAATAGTTCAAAAATGGAAAGTTATAGGAGGATATGGTTTGCAGCATTGCATAGCCGAATGCTTTAAAAATTGCTTATTGGGAAGAAAAATACCCTAAATAATTCTTTACAAAATCTCTGATTTTCAGCGTTTTAGCGTGCTGTGTTGCCAGAGTGACATTTGAGAAATCGGGTTGAGACAAACGAAATAATGAATTAATTGTATCACAATGAATGAATGCTCCGTGCATACAATGAATTGATTGTATCACAATAAATTCATTGTCGTACAATGAATTCATTGTATCATGGGGTCAATGCGTTTAGGCATGTTTGGAAATTTTGTAGACAAAACTGGCAAACGGCGTAAGCTGTAAGTGAGTAGAGATAGTAGTAATCACAGATCACAGCGGTACTCTGTAATCTGTGGTAGCAATTAGCATGCACATAGAAGTAAGGTCAGAAAATTAATAAGATGCCCATGCTAGCATGGAGAGAATGCGATGCTATGGCATACGGATGCCGGAGCTGACAAATTCTTAGAGGACTACAAGTTTTAAAGGATAACTCCCGAAAACTCGTAGTTCGTAGTACCAATAAGGGGTTTTTTTAGTTGGTAAGAATCCAACACTACCCAGGGTTCGGAACACTGGGTGTCTTCGCGAAGATTTTTATTCCTCCAGGCGCCGTCTCGTCTTATTAATTTACACCTTTCTTCTATGTGCATGCCACAGGTGCATGCTAATTGCTACCACAGACTACAGAGCATAGATGAAGACAACTACTGCTACAGAGTACCGCTGTGATCTGTGAGTACTACTAACTCTGCATAACCACACTTACAGCTTACGCCGTTTGCTACCTGTTGCCACAGAACATACCCCCATAGGGGATCACAGACTAAGGGGATATTTTGTGGCTGTTGCCCTATTGGGCTAGATGGTGCATAGATAAAGACAAGTTGGTGCCTTTTTTTCCTGGGTCCCAGATCTTCAGGTGTATAATTTACCAGATTTCGTAGCTCTTCGTTGGAGTGCCTTCCAGCTTTCTCGAAGTCTTCAGCCGCTTTCCTTGTGAGAAACTTAGTGGCTCCCACTCCAGGTCCCTGTAGAACATTGTATCATGATTTGCCTGGTTGTTGTTAGTAACGAATTTCAGTTGTTTAATTGTCAAAATAAACGTGCTCCGCCGCTAACAAGAACACTAACAACGCCGCTAACAAGAAATTACCCGACATTTCAAACTAACTTAAACGAAAAATGGCTCTTCACGTTCCAAAAGTGCCGGGCTTCGCCCAGATGATGAAAGATGGGACCCGGGTGAGTTACATTTTTCTCAATTTGCGTTCGAAGTCACATGTGTTTTTGCTTGGTTATTTGTGGGTGTGCACCATAAAAGTTGCATGTTCCTTGCAGATTAAATTAATTCGATATTACTATTGATTGCAGTACTTTTCCGGCTTGGAAGAAGCAGTTGTTCGTAACATTAAGGCTTGCAAAGAGTTTGCCCAATCGGTTCGGTCAGCCTATGGACCCAATGGGATGAATAAAATGGTTATTAATCATATCGAAAAGCAGTTTGTGACTAGTGATGCGGCAACGATTATTCGGGAACTGGATGTTGAGCACCCAGCTGCTAGACTGATGATTTTAGCTAGTCAAATGCAGGACTCGGAAGTTGGAGATGGGACCAATTTTGTCATTATTTTGGCAGGCGCTTTACTAGGTAAGGCCCATCCACCAACTAGTCGTTAATAATTTAATATAGAAGAAATAAAGCAAGATTTATGCATAAGTACTTGAAGAAATAAGATCAATTGGAAGGCACTTTGCATCTAGAAATAATAAAGCTTTACACAGCACTGATGCAAGCTTCATTATTATCCTAATTAGTGGATAAACCATTTTTTTTCTCCTAAACCTTAATAAATTTCCGAACTGCTTATAACCATTTCAATATTTATTAAGTATGTAAGTAGAGTTCCAATAACAGACAGGGTTTAGTTCGCTCTTCTAGTCTAATTTTCCTTGCAATCTTTCAATCCAGTTTTCATCATCAAATTCGTTTCTTGTGCAATGATGGACATTAATTAAATTAAAACTATTAATTTTTTTCTGAATCTTCAAGAAGAAACTAATTTGGTTTGATTTATTGCAGATGCTTCAGAAGAACTGATTCGTCTAGGTGTAACTCCGACTGAAATAGCGGAAGGTTTCGAGAAAGGTCTTGAAAGAGCTTTGGAAATATTGAAATCTTTGGTTTGCTACACTGTTAAAGACAACCGCGATGTAAAAGAAGTGACGCAAGCTATTAAGACTTCGATCGAATCGAAACAGTATGGAAATGAGGATTTTCTCGCCGACTTAGTCGCTAGAGCGTGCATCTCAATATTGCCTGAGCAAACCAGCTTTAACGTGGATAATATGCGAGTTTGCAAGATTTTGGGATCTGGACTTTTAAGTTCTCAGGTATATGTATATGAATAAGTTTCCAATAGAGAAAGTTTGCTGATTTCAAGGAACTTGATTGCAGGTCGTGCAAGGGATGGTTATTAAGGGGCACGTTGAGGGCGAAATCACGCAAGCTGAAGATGCCAAGATAGCAATTTACAGTTGCCCAGTTGATATCCTGCAAACTGAAACTAAAGGTAAAACAACTTGGAATTGCAAAGCTTGTTTTTTAAATGTGAGCTTTTTCAGGTACGGTGTTGATCAAAACTGCGGATGAATTGATGAACTTCAGCCGGGGCGAGGAGAATCTGTTGGAGTTGCAAATTAAGTCAATTGCCGATGCGGGAACCAAAGTCATTGTGGCTGGCGACAAATTTGGCGATATGGCTCTGCACTACGTACACAAATACAACATGATGGCCGTCAAGTTCAATTCGCAATGCGATTTGAGACAGTTGAGCAAAACTGTAAATGGCACTGTGCTGCCCAAACTGTCCACCCCATCCCCTCAGGAATTGGGCTATTGCGATTTGGTCTGCGTAGAAGAATTGGGAGACACCCCGATTGTGGCATTCAGACAAAAGGGAAAAGAGTCTAGAATATCAACCATACTGATTAGAGGAGCCAGTGATAATTACATGGACGATATCGAGCGAGCAATCGATGATGGAGTCAATACGTTCAAGGTACGTCAGTTAGCCTATGCGGAGGTTGAATCATTTTTCACCAACTCGTCTTTAATTTTTTTAGGGGCTTTCAAGAGATCCACGATTTGTTCCTGGTGCAGGCGCCACCGAAGCCGAACTGGCTGTTCGACTTCTCGAGTTTGCAGACACGCTTCCTGGTTTGGAGCAGTATGCCATTCGAAAGTTCGCCACTGCTTTGGAGGCTTTCCCCAAGGCTTTGGCTGATAATAGCGGCTTGAGGTCTCAAGTGATTCTGGAGAAAATCCTTGACGCTCACCTGGTAAACTTTTTTTTCAAAATCGTAGCTACAGTACTTCTTTTTAGGGCTGTGTCTAAGGTTTTTTAATGTTGTTTCAGAATGGACAGAAAAATGTCGGTGTTGACATCACAGCGGAAAATTCGCTGGTAGATGTGGTAGAAAAGCAAATTTTCGATCTCTACCAAGCGAAATTCTGGGGTCTTAAGTATGCAGTGGATGCAGCCTCTACCATTCTGCGGGTGGACCAAATCATCATGGCTAAGCGGGCAGGAGGGCCGAAAGCGCGCGGGCCCCAAGGCAGCGATGATGAATCTTAGTTTCGCCTTTCTATTTAGATTGGAATTGCTGCATTTTTTTTTTCAAGCAGCAGGTCCAATGTAATTTTACACGTTAATTCTTTTAATTCATTAACTCGCTAGGACTTGATTAACCTATTTCTAATTAAACAGCTTTGAAAATACAAGTTTCAAGTATTTTTTTCCCTTTTCCTAAAAAAAACCAAAGCTGATTCGAACATTTATCGTGGTTGTGCTGTGGAGGGCTGACTCAATTCCGTAACTAAGTAGAAAGCAGAGGAAAGAAACAGTTCTGGCAACCTTCTCCAATGTGTTGAGATAATACAAGCAGTTCAGATAACTGATTCAAAACGTGGTCTATCTATTTATAGATTCGAGCCCGTGGCTCTTTTAAAGTAGTTAATTTAATGCTTTCTAAATGATATTTACTAGGGATAAGAGACTACAAAGGCCTTGGTTTCCTTAAAACTTCACCCAGTTGTGTGGATAAAGTAATTCCGAAAGGTTCACCTCGCCGATCGCCAGGTAATTTGCTTTATTTTCGGCTTATTAATTGTTTAAACAAGATTTTCATCGCTAGATTGGATTACAACTGAGTTTAATTGGTGCGTATTCGATTATTTACTACCGCGCTTTCCCTCTGCAATCCATGTATGTAACGTGCGAACCAATTAAGACTGCATGTGCTTTTAAAACTCGTAGTGTTTACGCATGAAACTGCATTTGAAAGCCTACTTGCACTTGTACTGGAGCGTTTCACGGCGCAATTTGCATATCTACTGAAGCCTTAAGTTCCTTTGCCCAACTAAACAGACGAGAAAAACAAAAAATGCTCAAATAAAAAATTCAATGCGTTTTTCCGGTTTTATAGGTTAATTTTCGAAATTATTTTAGGCCTTATAACCGAAACAGGAACGCGTTTTACTTAAAATTTCTTGTGTTAATTTTTTGGAATTTTCGGGCTTTTAAATACGGTTTGATTAATCAACATCAACGTGTACAGGTCTTGGGGTTCTAAATTATAAAAGCAATTAACTAGTTTTTTTTAAGCTACTGTCCAACTAAAAAACAGGTAATGGCGAATGCTCTTAATAAATAGTTTAAAAACTTAAACAAAATCAATCATAAAATTGTTGGTTTTATTTAAAGCTCTTTCCTTGAACTTTGCCATTATTTTAATACGAGAGTCTGAATGAATGTCTGCTGTAGAGTTTGGGTCTCAGGATTTTAATTCCATTTGAAGCAAAACTGAAAATTATTATTAATGTTCATTATTCATTAGCGGAAATCTGACTCTATAATTCCGGCAGTTTTCTGATTTTTTCAAAATCAAAGTAAAAATAGATAAAATATTGAAGCCTCTTATTCCCGATTTTTGCCATTCTTTTAATGTGGAACCATAAAACCTAGGAGGAGCTAATTAAGTGTTTTAAAGCCTTATTAAATAAGAGGTCTTTTGTTGAACTCCCGGTTACTCGGAATTAAGTGCCTCTGATTAATCACTGATTTTAACTTGACAAGTTCCTAGACTTCAGAATGTTGTCTTGGAGCTAATTCTATTGCACTTTTTCTATATAGCATGAAAAATTGTCAATTCCAGTGTTTAAATGCACTGTGGGAAAACCATGGCAAAAGTTATAATCGTCGGAGCTGGCGCTTCTGGAATTGCTTGTGCTACAAGACTGATCGCAAAAGGTTTCGATGTGACGATTTTGGAAGCTGAAAACCGAATTGGCGGAAGAATTCACTCAGTTCATTTTGGAGGCACTAATGTGGACTTGGGGGCGCAATGGGTAAGATCCATTCGCAAAATTAACAATTCACGCACGGGATAACGTTGGAATATTGCAGATTCACGGGGAAAAAGGAAATGTCGTCTACGAAATGGTTGAAAACCTAAACCTAACTGATTACCCGAAAAGTTCCACGTACTCAAACATGTCGTTTTTTACTTCGACTGGAACAATGTTGGATACAAAATTGACTAATCAGCTTTATGAGATTGTGGAAAACATTCTGGAAGAGTCTGATTTGGCATCGGAACATAAAGGAACCCTAAGAGAATATTTCGATTCAAAGTAAGCGAACGGTTTTAACAAACTACAATTTTGGCCGATGGAAACAAGAAATTCGCTCGCGTTTCATTGTCGAGCAGCTGAAAAATTAGCACAAAACAGGTTGCTAAAACTACAACTTAAATCATAATTTTAAAAGTTCTTTGCTTGATTGTTACCTGTGCTATTAGCGGAAATTAGTGCATTTCTCAATTATTTTGATCGCATTAGCAAAGCTTTGGGAACTAGATTGAACAACCATTTTTTAAAGTTTCGAATTTTTCTTTTCTGATGAGCTTGACGATTTTTTCATTTCCGTTTATTTACGTTATTTAGGTAACAATTATGAAAAAACCGTCACTTTGCAAATTGCAAAAGTTCTAACTTCGTTTTAAGCGAATATTTTGCTTTACATGCAAAATTATTTTTCTGGTCTCCACCTATTTTTTAAATGGTAAAAATTAGAGTATAATTTTACTACATGATTTCCACTTTTAAATTAGACTCATTTAGATTGAAAATTGCTGCCAGTTAGAAATAGTTAAACAACAGAAAGATAATGTAAAAAATTTTATCAGAAATTTTGCAATAAAATGTTGGATTTCACCTGCAAGGGACGATTTGTTCATAAATATTTCCTATGGAACATACAAAAGTAGCAGGTGAAATGAAACTGCAATTTAAAACAATGAATCGTTTAGAGTGAGTTAAAATTCTCCGAAACCAACCGAAATTTATGTATATTTACAAAAGAATTTAAAGAACATTTAAAAGCCAACTCAGCTGAACTTGAAGCACTTAAACAGCAATTGGAAACACATTTTTTAGGTACACTAAACAAGTCAATGCAAAACTCGGCAACGAAAATAAAGAGCTGCTAAATGCTGCGGAGTTCATCAGGAACTGGTTTAGTAAGTTCTATTTGTGCATGGATCCTGCCGAGGATTTAGCGCAAGTATCAGTTAATAGCCTGGTGAAATACCGGGAATGCGAAGGAAACCATCTAGTCCATTGGAAGACCAATGGATTCGCAAGTTTCTTCAACGTTTTACTCGTAAGTACGTCTTTAATTCATTTTATTTTAGACTTAACAGCGGACTTTAGGAAAAAATACTTTGTAGGAAAACAATCCAAAATCATTCTTAACTGAGCACGTGTTGCTTAATAAGGAAGTCATCAAAATCGTTTGGGACCAAACTGGGGATTCCAAAGACAGGGGAAAAGTGAAACTGTTCTGTGCAGACTCAAGTCGCTTCACTGCCGACCATGTGATATTAACAGTTTCAATAGGAGTTTTGAAAGAAACCTACCAGACCTTATTCAAACCCAGTCTCCCATTGTGCAAAATTAACTGCCTCGAAACCATTCCAATGGGCACCTGCCAAAAAATCATCATCAAATTCCCCAACAAATGGTGGCCGGATGAAGTCAAGGACTTTAGCTTCGTTTGGACAGATGAAGACAAGAAAACCTTGCCCAAAGAATTTCCTTTTGGACCCATCAGGAATGAGAGGTTTGCTTATCAGCGTCAACTACAAACACGTTCCCTATTGTCTAAACGATTCTAGATCTTGGCTGGAAGACATTTTCGGATTTTACACTGTTGATAGCGACCCGAACATTCTTCTCGGCTGGCTAGTAGGATCAATGGTAAAAGAAGTCGAGCTCCTTTCAGACGAGCTCTTAATGAACGCTTCACTGTTTCTACTGAGGAAATTTGCCGGCGAAATTTACAAAATCAGCGAGCCATCTGAAATTATACGGTTCGTGTGATTTACTGGAAAGTTAAGGAATTTTTCTTGCTAGTTAATGGGTTTCTTAGGTCCAAATGGGGCACAAACCCGCATTTTTTGGGAACCTACTCATACGTCGGGGTGGAAATGGAAGCACGTGAAGCCACTCGGGAAGACTTGGCCAAACCTCTTGTAGTGGATGGAAAGGAAGTTGTGCTATTTGCAGGTGAAGCCACGCATTCTTGCTACTTTTCCACTGTTCATGGGGCAGTCGAAAGCGGCTGGAGAGAAGCGGATAGACTGATCGAAAGGTCTTAGTAAGTTTATTGTTTTTATTTGCCATAATTTTACTGGGTATTAAGAATGCGAGAGGTTTTGTAACGAGAGAAAAACTAATTCTGATTTGAACACCGACCTTTTGGAATTTTTTTTTCAGATTGTTCTTCAAGAACAATCAACTCTTCTGCTTCTTCCAGGGCGTCTCCCTAAAAAATTACTGGAAAAACAACCGACTGATCAGCTCGAAAAGAGACATCGCAGCTTGTTCTTTAAGTATCTTCAAGAACAGTCTCTAAATCACTGTAGTTTTGCTACTTAAGACGCAACTAATAAAGTGTCTGAAAGTAACTTAAAGTCCATTTAAATGTCTTTATAATGAAGGTTTAAGACCGACAATCACTTGAGAAACACTCGAATAATGAAGCAAAGAAACAATGGCGGTAGTATTTTAAGTGGCTGCAAGTACAGTTTGTCAATTACCTTGAAATAAATTCGCAATTCAAATTCACGCAAAAAGTGCTTAAGATCGCTTGAAGGCCTTTAAATGCTTCAAAATGCCCGATCGCTAGTGAAAATTACTGGAAAAACAACCGAGCGATCAGCTCGAGAAGAGACATCGCAGCTTGTTGCATACGTATCTTCAAAAGCAGCCCCTAAGTTCCTGTCTGGTCTTCCTACTTGAGACGTAACTAAGTGTCTGAAAGTGACTTAAAGTCCATTTAAAGGGCTTTATAACGAAAGTTTAAGACGGACAATCGATTGAGAAACACCCGAATAATTAAACAAAGAAACATTGGCGATAGTATTTTAGGTGGCTCCAAGTACAGTTTGTCAATTATCTTCAAATAAATTCGCTGCTCAAAATCAAGCAAAAAAGTGCTTAAAGATAACTTGAAGGAGATTAAACATAACCTTTTGTTCTTTTGACCCATCAGATATTTTCTGCGAAGCTGTTTAAACTTTTTGGTTTCCTGCCTTTTTAATGCGTAATGTGTTAGTCTAAACACCCCGGGTCCAAAATGAACAGTTTTTGCTCATCTAGCTTTAGCAGTTAAACATTTGTGATGAACTTAAATAGTAAATAAAATTGAAACTAATGGGGTTTTCGCCTAAAAACCCATTAGTTTCAAGGAATGGCCTCGAAAGTCTATCTCTTTTAGTAAATAAAATTGTCTGTAAGCTCAAGGATGATATGCGGTCGATGATTTTTCCGGAGGTTAAGTACTTTTGACCGTTGTAGACCAATTTTCCCATAAAAATTGAAAAAAGATTATTTCCAGCAAATCCAGACGCCATAAGGTAGTCATAGTTGGAGCTGGAATAGCTGGTCTGGCCGCCGCAACTAAACTGCTCGAGAATAAAATTGACGACTTTCTGCTACTGGAAGCTCAAGAAGAAGCTGGCGGCCGCATCAAAACCGTTCAAATTGGAAACAAACCCATCGATTTGGGGGCACAGTGGATGCATGGCAAAAGCAACCCATTGTACGACTTGGCAAAAGAAAAGCAACTTATTTCAGGTGGGTTCGGCCACGCGAAATCGCGGGCAGTTTCCATCAACTCTCAATGTTTCCAGACGAAATGTCCGAGGAAGGGTTGGGCCTGTACGTGAGAAGCAACGGGAAAATCGTGGATAAATTCATGGTGGACAAAGTGGCCTTTAAAGTGGGCCAGATTCTGGAAGGCTGCTCGAAATTAGTCAGTGAAAATAGTGGCTGCACTGCTTTGGGAACCATTCTTGAGCAGCATTTTTTCCGGTATCTAGAGGAACACGTTCCTGATGAGAGCGAAGCTGAAGTTATGAAGGAGCTTTATGACTGGCATGTGAGGTTTCAAGTCATCGACAACTCCTGCAAGGATTTATCGAAACTGAGCGCGAAAAGGTGGGCTGATTATGTTTGCCTTGATGATGAAGCCCACGCCAATATGAAACATGGGTATCAATCGCTAGTTCAACTCCTTCTGGATGGTCTTCCGGACAACCAGGTGAAGTTCAACACGGAAGTCACTAAAATCAGTTTCTCTCCGCAATCGGAGATCAAACTAGATCTTCTGGCCGGTGGTTCGATAGTGTGCGAGCATTTGATTTTAACGCCCTCCTTAGGGGTGCTCAAGGAGTTCCAGGGGCTTTCCAATGTTCTACCCGAGTCCTTAATGGTAAATATTGCCAATATGGGCTTTGCCAGTATATGCAAAGTGTATTTATTTTACGACCGCAAATGGTGGGGAGACTCCCAGGGTGAGATCTGTTCGTTTAGGGCCTAACCAGGTGTAAATTCTGGCTCTTTTAGGGTTCCAACTGCTCTGGAGCAGCGATCACAATGCGACTTGGCAAAGACACATCACTGGGTTCGATGAAGTTTTCAATCACGAGAACACTTTGATGACCTGGGTGGGTGGAGATTCTGTGCGAGAAGTGGAACGTCTGCCTGCAGAAGAAGTCGGAAAACAGTGTACTGAACTACTGAGGACTTTCCTGCCCAACTATTCCGTGCCGGAACCAATGGAAGTTATTCGGTAAGGCGAGGGAGACGAAACTGACCTGTTCATGCAACCAGAGAACCAAATTTCTTTAGAACCCAGTGGCTTTCCAACCCGTTCATCAAAGGCAGTTATTCCCACATAACTCCCGAATGTGACGATTGCAATGCGGGAATAAACGCCTTAAAACAGCCGGTGCTGGTAGACGGGGTTCCGAGGATTCTTTTGGCTGGGGAGGCAATTCACTCATCGCATTATTCAACCACCCACGGAGCGTACGAATCTGGATTAGACCAAGCGCAAGTTTTATGTGATTTTCTTTTGGAAAACAAGCCTGCTATTTAGTTGCATATTTTTAAGACTGAATGCCTGCGAAGTTTTAAGTTATTAAAACTAGACATATTTATGCCAATGAACACGGAAAACCATTAACCTTTCACTTTTTATGCGCTAAAATGCAATGTTCTATGTTATATTGCGTTCGCATTCACATTTCCAGCGCTCTTAGATATTTTTTCAACAACTAGTATTATTTGTGGGATTTTTGGCGATTTAATTGGTTTGGTTGGTTTTAATCCCAAAAAACATTTGCAAGTGTATATAAAACA